ACATTTTATTATGTATTAGAATTATGTGTATGATTATAACATTTATTACAATTCATTGCTGTTTTGAAGAAATGTTAGGTTAGATGTTATTTATTTAGTGACATTTAATTAAATACAAACCATTAGCACCTTTTGTTACACTCATTTTACACAATTACTTAAAATCTGGCTTTTTGCTGATTTCCAAACATAATTTTCTTATTGTCATCTACTGAAAATATTAGTGAACTGAAACACAATTAAATGAGTTATTATTTAAAAGAAGTGGATATTCTCTTTGATGTATTTGTTTGTTTGTTTATTTTAGGTTGGCTGAGTTTTGTTTTTTTGTGCTGAAAAATTCACGTAATATCAGCTTTGTCCAGCTTCGGTCCAAAATAATAGAATTGGCTTAATTTGAACTAGAGTTGAGCTGCCTGTCCTCCTTAAAAAATAATTCTGTACCTCTGTTAATTTGTGACTTACTGGTGTATTTCTCTGCATACTGTAGACTTGTTCAGACTTTCAGTTTGCGCGTGTGTGTGTGTGTGTGTGTGTGTGTGTGTGTGTGTGTGTGTGTGTGTGTGTGTGTGTGTGTGTGTGTGTGTGTGTGTGTGTGTGTGTGTGTGTGTGTGCGCGCGTGTGTGTGTGTCTTTTGTTGAGCATCAGGGGTTAAAAGGCTAAACGGCATGAGTCATTGTTCTCGGTGAAAGGCTTCTTTGACAAACCCCACAGGGACGAGTCCACATACACACACTGACAAAAGGCAGCGGCACTCTGGATCCTATTAACAACCACGTGGACCGGGATGGAAGCGTGTGTGTGTAAATGCAAATAAAAGCAGCCCACCGGCAGGCCCCTCGTGTTTAAATGGATGCCACTTACCAGTAATTTTACAGCAGGTGCCCTGATCGCACACTGGTCATACAAACACACACACACACACACACACAGTAATGCTGTCCAGACGCAGTGACAAAATGTCCACCACGTGAGGCCTTCAGAATACGCACAGACTCAGCCACTGTGGGTGACATCTGACAACAGACTGACAGAGGTCTCTGCTACTGCAGTGCTACAGTCTGAACAGATCTGACCAGGACCTGACAGTGGAGGCAGGGAGGAGAGACAGGAGGGATGTTCCACCTCATCCACTCCCAAAAATACACATCCACAGCACACTACTCATCCTTGTCCCTCTACATCACGCTGACAAATCATCTAGTGAAATACAAAAATCACTGCTGCAAAAATGAATTAAGATCAAAAGATAAAATGGACTGTGCCACAAGGATGTAATATCATCTCAGCTGACTAAAACACATTTAGTTATCATCAGCTTTCTCTTTTTTATGTCATAAGTCAATATCTATAATATCTTAGCATTTCTGAAATATTCACATATTCTTCACTTAGCTCCCACTCCCTACATTTTAAAAGACATGACATTAATCAGCAGAGGGACAGTGACACACACAAACTGATTATTCAATTAAAATCCACCATCTTATTTAAAGTTAAATGCAAATAGAGAAATTGTCAGAATAATTTTGACTGTTTTATTTCTGTGTACACCTCTGCTGCTCGTTTTATATGGGCAGAAACAAAAACAGGCCAATAAAAGGCAGGTCCATGTAAAATGGGAGGATGAGTGAAAGTGAGGAATGGAGGATGTGTTTGTGGTTGGGGGGGTGTTATTTAGGCATTGGTTTGGCTGCGAGTGGAGCGTGGGCACCGTGTTGTTATCCAGCTACTCTGCAGGCAGGACACGCCTTCTCTGGGCTCTGTGGTTCTGCTGCAGCATCCTTCACGGCATTACATCACCCAGTTAGAGAGCACCCAGCACCCCACAAACGCCTGCACACACACCTCACACACACACTCACCCACATACACACACACACATATATAGCAATGCCTGCACCATACAGACATCTGCATATACACCATACCAATGTCTGCATACACACCTCACCAATGCTAGAATACACATCACACACACACTCCGTGCATGCGCACCACTAAATTCTCATCGTACTGCACCCACACACATATGCACGATGACTGCAGACACACTAAATATATTACACATGCACACAAACTACCAACACCTGGATACACCCCACTCATCAGCTGTACAGACTTGTACACAGACACACACACACACACACACATACACACACACAGTCCGCCGGCGAACACACCCACAGATACCTTTTTCCTCACAACCACCAGCACTTTATGTAACATCACACTGCCTCTCACTATGACGCTGGCTTCTTTTCTTTATGACTGAATTTGTTTTTCATGTGATTTTATCATGATTTTTTTTGTCTTGCAACTCAACAAAACTGTAATTGGTGCATCAGCAGAAATTCCAAAGGTTTAAGATAAGACAGGCCTCTGCATTTTTTCCCCAAGTATTTCAATGTCATGGATATTTTAATGTCTTATTTAAAATGATGTGTATGAAGATGGTACAGCAGATATTTTAGATAGGCAAAGAAATACATAATATTCATGGCCCAGCAATGTCACACACTACCATGAAAAATAATAAACGGGGGAAAGGCGTCACCGTTAGAACGCAGAAAAACGACCAAATTAAAAAAAAAAAAAAAGAAAGAAAGAAAAAAAAGAGCACTCTCCCGCGTTATATTTGACTCTCCCCGCCCAGAGGGATTAGTGTTACCTTGAGAGCCCTTGGCTTTTTGCGCCTGATTTGTCAGCGCAGTTAATCGGCTGCCAACCAGAAGAAAAAAAAGGAGCCAAATTACCCAAAACAGCCTCCTTCCTACACACAGCAACCCCACCCCACCTTAAAAACGGACTGTGTGTGTGTGTGTGTGTGTGTGTGTGTGTGTGTGTGTGGTGTGTGGTGTGGTGTGGTGTGGTGTGGTGGGGGGGGACTAGCAGGAAAATTAAATTAAATATGGTGGTTTGATATTTTGCAGAAAACAGTCACCACACATGGAGGTGGCATCACAAGTCTTTTTCACAGCCTGTAAAATTCTATCATATCTATCGATATCAGACTATTAAAATACATCGCCTGTATTAATATCTGAAATGTGATCAGATCACACATTTATAGATCATATTTAATCGAGAATGATCATTTAAATTATAAGCAATGCAGCAAAACGAAATTTAAGGGGGTGGGGGTGGGGGGGTTAAACAGCATCAGAATCGTTTTGACTAATTATTTTCTTTATCCGAACACACGACATCACAAGAACTGAATGTGACGCTCTGCTGCTGAAAATGAGGAGCCGGTCATCCAGCACCTTTGGGCCCTTTGCAGGGAAAAGAGACGCATTCCCTGGCTCGGCTGGGTCACGCCCATTCTCTGTCCAGTTTTGGAAAAAGCCTGATTAGGAATCCCCTGCATAAATGCACAACAATCATCTAATCCTATTAACTCTTCAGATCGAAGTGTGAATAAAAATATAATTGTCATCCTTTTTGAGAATTTGCAACAATTTAGAGTGAGTTGAATGAGAGCGGGAGCTGCTGATCGTTTATCGGAGACTGAGGCCTGGACACCTTCCTGCTTGTTTTGCGGCAGCAGTGGATTCTATGGCGCACTACAAAGGCCTCGACTGTTCCTGCTGATAGAATATTTGCTGTACAAACTGACATCGTGCGTTCGTCGCGGTGTAAATGACAAACGGTGCAAAAAGGCAGTGTTGATGTAGATTTATATTTGTTAGCTGAACAGACTGGAGGCCCAGACTGAGGCTGAGCTCTGATGACGGACTGAGGCTGAGCTCGACGTGCAGCGGGAAACGGGAGTAGAGCGGTCACATTTCAACAAACCTCCTGCTGTCCCTGGGGACGCCATTTGATCCTCCGGGGAACCGAAATAATCCAAATCATTATAATCATTTTTTCATCCCCCCCCCCCCCCCCCCCCCCCCCCCCCCCCCCCACACACACACACACACACACACACATTCTAACGTCAGGTTTTAAAAATTATTCACTGATTGGTTTCATTTAGACTTGATATTTCGATCGCATTTGAAGACGAGCAGATAATATTTAATGTGTAGCCGTCTGGTTTTAAAGATCTGCGCTGTCACGTTGAATTTGGTGTGAAATGCAGAAAAGGGAGACACTGGTTTAGTTGATGTGGTGAATGTGTGAAAACAGCAGCCAGCAGCTGGATTTAATGCAAACACAGAGGAGGACGGATAATGGAGGAATGTGACGGGTAGATGGCGAGAGGCGTGCAGCCTGCTGGTGCTGCTGTCCATCTCCGTTAACACAGAAGGTCATGTATCAAACTGCATGTCATGTGAATACTCCAATTACATCAAACTTGCATGTATATTTAAATAGTGCACTGGCTGTTTGCTGGGCGGGCAGTGATGAGCGCGGAGTGTCAGGGTGCATTTGTTTTACATTTAACATGAAGCTGCAGACGAGAACAATACGTTGAAACCGCACACCTGGCGTTAACCTTATTTATTATTCATCAACCTAAAAACAAGGAACATGGAGGGAAGGAAATCCGCCAGCTCGCCGTTCAAGTCTTTTTTTCTGGGATGATGATCTTCATATAGCCTACACACACGGGTGGTTTAAACGCTGCATGGCCGAGTACAATAATATAAAGTAAATAAAAGAAATAAATACAATTGATAATTCATATTGTAAACACGTTCCCAGGGGAGCTCAGAGGACGTGTGTAATACTGTCACGGTTGACTCTGTTCCACCGGGGGAATTCAGAGGCCAACATGGCAGAAATTCCCTTTTCGACGCCGCTGTTCCTTCAAGGAGACTCACACCTGCCCCAGCCCGCCTCATCCCCCGCTCTGTGCTTACAAACTGGAAAAGTCCTGCAAAAGTGCCAAGTTCCGCGACACCTGCCCGTCAGGAGAAGGACTGGAGCCTTTTCTGCCGCATATCTCCTCTAAAACCCGCTGCTTTTGCCCCGCAATATTCAATTCTGGAGGTTTTTCTACGCGCACAAGCAACATGAACAGGTTGAAATAAAAAGACGACGCTACTGACCTTAGTTACACACACCACCAACAGTAGCCTATCCAACTGCTAAAATCCAACTGTAAACTCCACACAGCCGTAGTTTTTAAAATCCACGATCCAGTGTGTCCGCTGCTGACGATGCCGGTGCGGAGCTGCGGGGGACCAGGCGGCACTGGGCTCGGTTTATTGTGCGCACAGGTGCGTCGACCACGGTGCATCATGCGCACAAAAGCCGCTGTTTGCTCGGTGCCACTTGCAGCGGCTGCAAGCAAGAGACACACACACACACACACACACACACACACACACACACACACAAATGCGCACACGCGCGCCACGGGTCCGCCCTCAATTCAGCGCCAGCACGCGCCATTTAAAGGCACACAGGCTGTAAGCGGCGACAGACGCACACGCACGCATGTGGCTATCTGTATGCTTCAGCGCACTGAAGGCTCTTATCAAATAAAAAGAGTGTTCATGATTAAAGCCTCAGGGTCTGACTGTGTAACAGTTGACTTTTATCACAGCGACTAGGTCTCAGTCACACATACTTATTATCTGAGAAATTTCCAAAGGTGACATTGGCAGCAGTGGTCAAAGCTGCAGTTGACTGACGTACACTGCATGCCTTATATCATTTCCCGTTAGACAGTAGCAAAATCAGTTCACTTCACTCCAAAGTCTACACTGGAGGTAATGTAGTCATTAGGATGCTAACTGTAATCAGCTATAATAATAATGATAATAATGATAATAATACAACAAAAATAATAATAAAAAAACTATATAAAAAAAAATATATAAAAAAACTCTATAGACTGTAGTTTATGGCCCTGAGGCGTCAATGCACTGCAACTTAAGAAAACACATGAAAACAGACTAGACATCTTCATCAGTCTAACACCACTTGAGCTGCGAATACTCACAACACAAGCAAACACACTTGTTTTTCAATGCTTTTAATTTCAAAAACATTTCAGAGAAAATCTAATCGATGTACAGTAACCAGTAAATAGTGTGATACAGTTTGACATGAAATGTCTTGTCAAGAGAGAAAGTAGTGAGAAGAAAGGAAGTGAACAGTATAAAGACTACAAGTACTACAAGTCTGATATGTCTTCTTCTAGCTTTGAGTTTTTTGTTTCAGGTATCTTATCCAAATATCCATTAAGTCATATTCCAGTCATGTGTAATGTAAGGTGACCAAAGTTTTAAAATGGTAAAAATCACTTGGCAAGAACTGAAAACCACGAGAAAGTGAATCAAATTCACATGATCATGTTACCTGTATGATGCCATAACATGTTGAGTATGATTGTGGGGTTTGGGACTTTTGATTTTGCATTTTCAAAATATCAGATCATGAGATATCAATCAGATTTGCCTTGACAGGACAAATAACTACTAACAGTTCAGGCTCCAGATCACCACTGAGCTCTGTGTTTGTTTGTTAATTGTTCTTCTTCTATCTTCTGTTTTGTGTTTCATGGCGGTTGATTAACTTTTTTTCTTTTAAATTTTGGGGCATCCCCTGGTAACCATGGTAACAAAGTGTTTAACATCACTACACTATGAACTGTGGGTAATTCTCTCAAGAAAAGTCTGCAGAAATGCAGACTTACAGAAAGTGTGTAAAAAGGACTCAGAGTCTGAGTTCATGCAAATGGACATCAGGATTGGGCCACAGAGGGGAGATAATGTGACACAGGTGCAACACATTAGGGCAGAGCCGACAATCACAGTGGCCACAAACACACAAGGGCAGGAAGTCAATTTTAAGCAAGAGGGAGAGTCAGTGATTTCAAAGTAAAACAGGAAATGCATGAAATAATAATACCATACCTCTCCCAGTCCACATGATACTGACGACCAGACCCTGCTTGCAGACAGCCAGCAGACACTTAAAGTGATCATTGGACCCCCTGCAGTTCGCCTATCAGTCCTGTATCGGATTAGAGGATGCAATCATCTTTCTGCTGCACAGAGCTCATACTAACCTGGAGGAGGCAGGCAGCACTTTGAGAGTCAGGTTCTTTGACTTCTCCACTGCTTTTAACACCATACGACCTGCGCTGCTCAATAAGCTTCTGGACATGCAGATGAATGCTCCATTGGTGGCCTGGTTTAACAACTACCACACAGGCCGCCCCAAATATGTGCAACTACAGAACATCATGTCAGACACCATTGTAAGCAGCACAGGGGCACCACAAGGGACAGTCCTATCTCCCTTCTTTTTCACACTCTACACCTCAGACTTCAGATTCTGTTCACTGTCCTGTCACCTGCAGAAGCTCTTGGATGACTGCCATTGTTGGATGTATCAGCAGGGGTCAGGAGGCCGAGTACAGGACTGTTGTGGACAGGTTTGTGGAGTGGTGTGGACTAAACCACCTCCAACTCAACATCGCAAAGGCAAAGGAGTTGGTGGTGGACTTTAGGAAACAAAGGACCTGTCTAGACCCAGTCATCATCACGGGAACAGAGGTGGACATTGTGGATGATTACAAATACCTGGGCATCCACATGGACAACAAACCAAACTGGACTACAAACACAGATGCTGTGTACAGGAAAGGTCAGAATCGCCTGTTCTTTCTCAGGAGACTCCTTTAACGTTTGCAGAACCATGCTGCAGATGTTCTACAACTTGGTGGTCGCAAGTGTCATTTTCTATGCTGTAGTGTGCTTGGGCAGTAGGCTGAAAGCAGCTGATACTAACAGACTTAACAAGCTCATCAGGGAGGCTGGTTCTGTCCTGGGAGTGGAACTGGAGTCATTACTGGAGGTGTCGAAGAGGAGGATACTGAGGAAACAACGCCTCTCACCCCCTGCATGCCACACTGAAGATCCACAAGAGCACCTTCAGTCGTAGACTGAGACCACTGTGGAACTCAACAGAACGCCACAGGAAGGCTTTCCTACCTGTGGACATCAGACTTTATAACTCCTCCCCCTTCTAGATTTATAACATGTGTATCTTTATTCTCAATAATGTCCAACAGTTTTTACACCTCAGTACACTTATTTATATCTATATCTTATATGTATATCTTTTTTTCATATATGTTACTATATTTCACTTATTTTTAACTTTGTATTGGTACTGTTGTTTTTGCCACTTTGCCACTCTAGATGTTACTGTAATTTGGAGCAACCTGGCACAAGAATTTCCTCTGGGATTAATAAAGTTTTTATCTTATTTTATTTTATCTTAGGTTATCTGACATGGGGTCATGTGAGGTACTGATTTATAGTCAGTGCATTACCTGCAGTAGACTCAGATTAGTTGTATACTAGGTTTTTACCTTGTTTTGTATTAAACCAAATATACACAATCCTTCCCTCACCTGAACCAAGTGCTGCTGAAACATAACTATTGAAACGTGTAATAATGCTGTAGTAACTAAGTGGACATTGCACTGCATGGTTGGATATTTTGAAGGAAAATAAATAAGAACTTAACTGATATGTTCAGTGTCAAAATATTACAAATACCTGGGTATTTCTAATATGCTGCTCATCACTGTCCCTGAGACACAGTTACCCAGCCTGATGTACTGCGGTCATCTTGTCAGGTAATCCACAATCCAGGACGTGAGGCAGGGATCCACCCCCATCCATTCCAGCTTGTCTTTAAGAATGGGGGTTGGATGGTGTTAAATGCACTTGGAAAATGAAAGAACACAATCCATAAGTAATAATGGGACCAGTGGAGCATGTAAAGGATGGCATCATCCACTGCAATATGTTCTTTGTAGGCGAGCTGTAGGGGGTCTAGTGCATGTTCAACCTTGGCCTCAGAAGGTGGAAAAGCAGCCGCTCAAGGGTCTTCATGATGTGTGATGTGAGGGCCACTGGTCTGTAGTCATTTATCTCAGCCGGTCGTCCTACTTTAGGGACCGGAACAAGACATGATGGAGTGGATCAATTGAAGCTGGTAACACACAACAGACATGTCACACAGACAGACAGAAGAATAGGCTGTGATAAAAGTGGCAAAAGCTATATAGGAATGACAACTGTATCCACAGGAAGGCTGAAAGGAACCAGGACACCCACTCATACAGACCTATATCTGCACTTAATTCAAACCTCCACTTGCAACACAAAAGTTGAGTGATGAGGCCCCTCCTACACAGAGCAGGACATCTTTGTCAGTGAGTTCCAGAAGGGAAAGTCAGGCCAACAAGTACAAGGACTAAATGATTCCACCATCACTTTAAACCAGAAGAAACTGTCTGCACGTCATATGGAGTCATCACTTATCACACTCACCACCAAGATCTCTGACAGGACCCCCACTGAGAGGAAGACTGGAGTCTGTATATGACATAGTCATGACATCACATATATATGACATATGGGGAACATTATACCATTGAAACAGCATAATCTATTTGTCCCCTGTTCAGAGACACAATATCATCTATAGATTAATTGTCCCCCAAAGGACTGTCACTTACTTTGGCTCTTACAGACAACAAGCCTGTCACTCTGTCTCTGTGTTGTGGAACAGGTATACTGTCAAGGTTAATGGCAAAAATTCTTCCTTTACCCCAGTGTTATTGCTACCTAATAACGATTCTGGTGTAAAGTTGAATGCAACCCAGCATAAAGTATTATTGGCCGGCATTAAAAGCAACAGAAGAATGTAACATTCATCGATGGATTCCACCAAATTAACTTCCTGTTGGATAATGGTTATGGTTTTTGCAGGACTTTGTGATTATGTAAATGTCTACTACTAGAATTCACAAGGCCAAAGCTTCAACAATAGAGACATGGAAAGACACTGATTCAGCAATTATGGCATTGCTCACCATATGACTTCCACGGACTGTAACTAGACAGGACAATGCAACTAGTCTAACATTGCCTACTTTGTTTTGGTCAGCCAGTCAGTCATCACAGTGATCACTCTCTGTAGCTTTTTGCAACACCTGTAACATTTTACATCATCCTTTGATCCATTGTTAATACAACATTGATCAGTGCAGCTGGAACTGAAAAGTATCTCTCCTCTTCTTTACTCTGTTTTACAAGAGTGTATCACATGGCTAGCGTCTTAGTTAGTTAGCGTCTAGTAATGCCTTTTCTCCTTGTACACCACACGCACACACACACACACACACACACACACACACACAGACACACACACACACACACACACACACACACACCCACACACACACACACACATACACACACACACACACCTCCATCTCATCCATACATATGTCATATCTTGTGTGATTAGC